GTCACATTTCAAGGCCCCCCTGTAAAAAATACACTGCAAATAGACAAGCAGGACCGTAACCCCTAACCCTAACCCTAACCCTAAGAAACCCTAACCCTAACCCTAAACCCTAACCCTAACCCTGACCCTAACCCAACCCTAACCCCGACCCCGACCCCAACCCCGACCCAACCCCTGGCCCCGGCCCCTACCCCGACCCTGACCCTAAACCCTGACCCTGACCCTAACCCCTGACCCTGACCCTAAACCCTGACCCTACCCTAACCCTCACCCTGACCCTGAACCTGACCCTCACCCAATTCCCCTGACCCTGACCCTACCCCTGACCCTGAACCTGACCCAACTCCCCTGACCTTCACCCTAACCCTAAACCACCTGAGCCACTTCGCCAGCCCTTTGAGTGATTTCTGACATTACTTTTTTATTGAAAGTAAAAAGATCCAAAATTAGTTGAATTTCTAAATATTACCTATATGGCTAGTCGTGAAAGTAACAAAAAAAGAATTTTTACCTTATAAGAAAAAAAAAGGATACTCATCCTAAGAAAACATGTTAATTCTGAATTACAGCCAAGAATATCACACTCAAAACACTTCTTACAATGCACTGCAAGACAAAAGTAAATCACTGTGAAGAGTTGTATATTCACATTAAGTACATCAGAAGAGAGCTTTATGGACCGGAAAAGAGAAAAAAGGTATACTTAAGCTTCAGAAGTTAAAAATGCAATGGAAAGATAATAAGACAGAAATTCTTCTGGCCAAACACAATAGTCCATGGTGGCAGGAAAAGTGTACTGTATTTAGATCACAATCTTAGTAAATTGTCTGCATCTATTAAGTAAAATAGAACATTTAAAAATATGATTTTTAAAAGTGTAGTTTTACTGAATTACACAAGCACAACATAATCTCAGCTCCATTCTAGAAAAATAACAAACACATTGGGACACTGACATTATGATAAAATTACGTCAAAGAACTTCTCACAAAATAACATTTGTTAAATACTAATATAGACATATGTATTCACAAAAGAAATGCAAATTGATGAAATCAAAAGCATTTTGGTTTTTTATTAACAGAAATCTTTGACAAAGAAAACTACGTAACAAATCGCTCCAACAAAACTCCTGACAATAAAGGGTCATGCACTTTGGAATGCCCACCCCTTGCTTCTGAGCAGAGACCAAGTTTCTGATGAATGCACAATTTAAATCCCATGGTAATATGCTTACAAAATGTGGAAAAATAAATCTTGTATCTTAACCAGGAGATATTTTTGGGAAATTACCTGATATAAAAACAGCAGTTTGTGTACACATAGTAATGATTTCTATCCTGAAGAAATTTCAAATTAAGCATCATGGAATAACAATGGTTGGCATAAAATATATCATTGTCCTGTTTCTCCTAAAACTGTAAGATATACTTTGCTAACAAAAACCTCATTCAAATTTAGAAGAGGTGAGAGAGAGACAGAGAGAGAGAGAGAGAGAGAGAGAGAGAGAGAGAGAGAGAGAGGAATCCTTTTAAACACCAGGCAATGGTATGTTTTTGTATCTGGTTTTTGAGAACTGAATTCATGACTCAGTGCATTCTAGGCAAGTGCTCACTACCACTGAGTCACAGCACCCAAATATACTATTAAGCAGAGGTTAACCAAAAATCATTTAAGATCATCATGAAAAAATTATCTAATAATCATCTCAATGAAAAACAGACTAGGTTAGGAAGTGTGTTTTTAAAATATTGACAAGGACAGAAATAAAAAAGTTCCTAGAATCTAATGAAATGAAAAAGCAACCTGCAAGAACCTATCAGACACAGCAAAGGAAGTGTTAAAAGGAAACTTTACAGATACAAATGCTACATTTAAAAAAAAAACAGATCTCAAAAAAATAACCTAATAGTGATTCACCGTATGCAAATCGGTAAATTAAATACAGCATATAGAAAGGGCAAAAATCTCATGTCCATCTCAATAGATGAGGAAAAACCCTTTGAGAAAATTCAACATACCTTCATGATAAAATCACTGAAGAAACTAGGAATCAAAGGAATGTACTTTAACACAGCAAAGGCTATAATGACAAACTGACAGCCAACATTATATTAAATGGAGAAAAACATTGCCACTAAAGTCAGGAATGAGACAAGGGTGTACATTCTCCCCACTCTTATTCAATATGGCTTCTACAATAGACACATAAGACAGCCTACAGATTTGGAGAAAATCTTTGCCAGCTATTCATCTGATCAGAGACACATAACCAGAATCTATAGGGAGCTCATAAAACTAAACTCCTAAAGAATCAACATGTTGAAGAAATGGGTGCATGAACTGAATACAAAATTTTCAAAGGAAGAGGTAAACATGGCAGATAGATACATGAAGAAGTACTCAACTTTCCTGGCCACAAAAGGAATGCAATTCAAAATTACATGAAGAGTTCATCTCACTCCAGTTACAATGGCTACCTTCAAGAACAAACATTAGTAAAGGTGCACAGAAACAGAAACTCATAAACACTATTGGTGGGAATGTAAGTTTTTACAATAACTATGCAAAGCAGTGTGAAGATTCTTTGAAAAAAAATAAAAATAGAACTACCACTCAATCTAGTGGTACCACTCCTGGGCATATACCCAAAAGAATGTAAGTCAGGATACAACAGAGACACTTGCACACCCATGGTTACTGCAGCACTATTCACAATAGCCAAGCTATGCAAACAGTCCAGATGCCTTACAACTGATGAATGGATTAAGAAAATGTACTATATATACACAATAAAGTATTACTCAGCCATGAAGAATGAAACTTGTTTGCAGGTAAATGAATGGAACTGGAGAACATGTTAAGCATGGTTCAGAAAGAAAAAGTCACCTTTTCTCTCATATGTGGAAGGTAGATCAAAAAGATAAATGTACACTCAAATGCAAACATGACCATAAACACATTCATATAGAGAACATGGTTACAAAAGTTGGACGACTCGATGGGACTTGGTGGAGGGTGCGAATGATAGTCAACAATATCAAAATACATTGCATCTATGTACAAAGATGTCATAATGAAATGTACTGGAAGTTGTTGAATACTAAGAGGTGGGGGGGAAGGACAAAGGAGAGTGATAATCGGGATTAATCTGATTAAAGTTTATTCACACCTAAAATATCATAAAACAATTTTGAACAATGAATATGGACTTAAAATGAAAGACAAGATGGAAAAGCAGGTCCTGTTGAGATGGGTACTTGTGGGGGGGGAGAATGAAGGGAAGGGATAAGGTAGGGTAAACATGGTTGATGAACTTTATAAACGTACATGAAATAGAACAATGACACCTATTGCAAACATTTTAAGCAGAGGAAAAGGAAGAGGAAGTAGAGAGATGGTGGTGGTGAACCTAATTAAGGTACAATGCAAGCATATCACACCTGTACAACTAACATATGCTAATAAAATACTTTAAAATTTTACTTTAAAAAATGAGGAACACAGCAAAGTCCCTTACTCAGCTCTTGGGTGGCAGATGGGAGGCTTTTTCCCTCACCAAAACAATGATACCAAGGTGTTTCCCTAAGGCTGCTTCTGAGAAGTTCCACACCTCCCAATGCACACAGCACCATGTAGTGGACAATGTGTATACAGGCACAGGGTGCTACCCCACCATTTACCATTGGTGGTCACCATACTGACATCATAAAGAACTTCTGAAATTCAAGGTTAATATTCCATACCATAGTTCTGGACAAACTGAAAGAGCCCACCATCCTGTGCCTCGATCTGAAAGCATGATGCTATGGCTTGGATTCATGTGTTAGAAACTTAATCTTAAAGTCATATGCTAATAGTATATGAGGGAGACCTTTGGGAACTAATTAGCACATAAGAGTTCTACCCTCATGAATGGAGTTAATCCATTCATGAATTAATGGATCAATGGTTTATCAAGTGCAGTTTTGTTATAAAAATCAAGCTTTCTCTGGCACACTTGATCTCACCATGTAATGTCCAGCACAAACTCAGAAATGTGCAGAGTACCCACCAGTAAGGAGGACCTAAAATTCAGAACACTTTAAAGCATGGATGAGATATATGAATGCCAAAAATTGCCCTGTTCTTCAGAAATACAATCATTAAGATATCAAATCTTCCTAACTTGATCTATAGATTCAGCTGAATGTCAATTTAATTCCCAAAAAAGATAGCAAACGTAACCTAAAAACACATAGCATAAAGACTAACAAACACTTCAAGAACTTACACATGTGGTTCAAAGCACTTACCATAAACCTACAATAACAGAGGATGGTATTGGGGAAGGAATACATTTAGAACAGGACATCAAGCCACCAGAGCCCACACTCCACAGCCAGAAGACCAAAGTTGAAAATAAATAAAATTATAATTTATGGACTAGAGGAGTGGTTCAAGCAATAGAGTGCCTGCCTGGCAAGCATGAGGTCCAGAATTCAAACCCCATGTCACACACACACAAAAAAAGAGAAAAAAAATTGTAATTTACAGTAATAGTATTCTCCAAACATATGTACATAGGGCTATGTGCATATAATGTATTTTGATCAAATTTACCCACTAGGAATGAGTTTTGCTCCTCTGATATAATGTTCTGTGAATTGTGATTTCTCCATTATTCTAGAGTGAGGATAATTTATACTTTGAATTTATAATACACTTAAATCCTTTCAGAGATGAGTCATTTGCACAATTCTCTGTACCTATATTTCCTTCTATCACACGAGTAATGTTTCCAGTATATTTTAAACAAGTTAAAACCTTTGTCATATTCTCTATATTTACAGTATGAAATAGACTTTGATATACTCTTTACATTTACCAAGTTTCTCCAATGTGTTTTACACATTGTACCCTGCACAAAGATCTTTCTGCAGTCATTATGTATGAGACTTCTATACAGTGTACATCCTATGATATAGTAAATTTTGAAATCTGAATAAATGCTCTGCCACATTCTTTACATTTTTAATTTCTCTCCACTATGAATTCTCTAGTATTAGGTAATTGGTTAAAGGTTTTACCACACTCTTTGCGTTTATAGGGTGTCTCAGTTCTCTAGAGTAAGGTTTGAGTTTTAATTAAAAGCTTTGTTACAACCTACATTTGTAGGATTTCTCTCCAGTATGAATTCTGTAATGATGTCGAAGGCTTGAATGCCTAGTAAAGGCTTTGCCACACTCTTTACATTTGAAAGGTTTCTCTCCAGTATGAATTCGCTGGTGTACGGTAAGGTGTGAACAACGGTTAAAGGCTTTACCACAGTCTTTACATGTGTACGGCTTCTCTCCAGTATGAACTCTGCTATGTTGTCTAAGGCTTGAACACTTGGTAAAGGCTTTGCCACATTCTTTGCATGTGTAGGGCTTCTCTCCAGTATGAATTCTCTGGTGTTGAGTGAGGTTTGAAATCTGAATAAAGGCTTTGCCACATTCTTTACATTTATAGGGTTTCTCCCCAGTATGAATTCTGTGATGTTGTCTAAGGCTTGAACATTTGTTGAAAGCTTTACCACATTCTTTACATTTGTAGGGTTTCTCACCAGTATGAATTTTCTGGTGCTGAGTAAGATTTGAAATTTGATTAAAAGCTTGGCCACATTCTGTACATTTGTAGGGTTTCTCTCCAGTATGAATTATGTGATGTTGTCTAAGGCTTGAACAGGTAGTAAAGGTTTTGCCACATTCTTTACATTTGAAGGGCTTCTCTCCAGTATGAACTCTCTGATGTTGTCTAAGATTTGAACACTTGGTAAAGGCCCTGCCACATTCTTTACATTCAAAGGGTTTCTCTCCAGAATGAATTCTCTGATGATGAGTAAGGCTTGAACACTTAGTAAAAGCTTTGCCACATTCTTTACACTTATAGGGTTTTTCTCCAGTATGAATTCTCTGATGTTGTCTGAGAGTTGAACACTTGGTAAAGGCCTTGCCACATTCTTTACATTTGAAGGGTTTTTCTCCAGTATGAATTCGCTGGTGGTAAGCAAAGGTTGAACAATCAATAAAGGCTTTGTTACATTCATTACATTTGTATGGTTTCTCTCCAGTATGAACTCTCTGATGTTGTCTGAGATTTGTACACTTAGTAAAAGCTTTGCCACATTCTTTACATTTGTAGGGTTTCTCTCCAGTATGAATTCTCTGATGTACAGTAAGGTGTGAGCAACTATTAAAGGCTTTACCACATTCTTTACATTTGTAGGGTTTCTCTCCAGTATGAAGTCTCCGATGCTGAACAAGGTTTGAGCTTTGATTAAAGGATAGCCCACATTCTTTGCATTTGTAGGGTTTCTCTCCAGTATGAACTCTTTGATGCTGAACAAGGTTAGAGCGTTGCGTAAAGGATAGCCCACATTCATTACATTTGTAGGGTTTCTCTCCAGTATGAACTCTCTGATGTTGTCTGAGATTTGAACACTTAGTAAAGGCTTTGCCACATTCTTTACATTTGTATGGTTTCTCTCCAGTATGAATTCTCTGGTGTACAGTAAGGTGTGAGCAACTGTTAAAGGCTTTATCACATTCTTTACATTTGTAGGGTTTCTCTCCAGCATGAACTCTCCCATGCTGAACAAGGTTTGAGCTCTGATTAAACGATAGACCACATTCCTTACATCTGTAGGATTTCTCTCCAGTATGAACTCTCTGATGTTGTCTAAGATTTGAACACTTCATAAAGACTTTGCCACATTCTTTACATTTGTAAGGCTTGCCTTGAATATGAGGACTTTGATGGATAACAAGTCTTGAGCACTGATTCATGACTTTTTCATATTTTTTACCTCTGTAAAGGTTCTTTGGAAAACAAACACACTGATGGTTACTGGGATCCAAGCCAAGGTTGAAGTTTTTATGATGTTCATTGCATTCATAAATTTTATCACCAATATAAATATCCTGGTAATTCTTTATTACACAGCCCTGGTTAAATATCTGCCTAGTTTCATTACTTATGTCGTGTACTTTCCAAATATTTGTATCTGATTTTTGATTCAGCAATAATGGGTAAGAAGAGAGCTTCCCATTAAAATTGTATGCTTTGTCACAAGAAGGAATTGCTTGATTACAGAATGAAGAACTTTGTGTAAAGGAACTCTCAAATTGGTCACATTTAGACACTTGTTCTTCATTTTGAAATATCTTCTCTAAAGAAATGCCTGAGTTAATGTTTAACCAAGTGCTACACTTGAAATTGTTCAAGTCATTAACTGAAGCATGGGCTAGACCCCTTTCCATATTTTCCAAATTTCCTTTCAGGAGAAAGGCATGTTTCAAAAATTGCTGTGGATGTTTACTTATAGAAACAGATGGCTCTTGAAAAGTAACTGGCATGAATCGAGATTTTTCCTGAGACAGTTCATGTTCTTGATCTCTGTTGACAGTGAAGTTCTTGCTATTAGTTCTCACACACTGGTGATGTCCACCATACAAAGCTTCCTGACCTTCACTCTCATCCCCACTTTCCCATGCCTTGCTTAGGTGAAAATTGTCACGGCCACACTTTCCATGTCTTCCATTTATCAGTTTTTGAAATGAACGTGTTATATTATGCTCTGATGAAAAGTCTCGGCTGTTATGGGACGATATAACTGAAAGAAATAAAAATAACAAATTATCCCACTAAGTAAACTCAGGTGAATATACTCTCTAAATGTATCACATTATACCAAGCTGGTGACATCAGCAGGATAGTAAACCCAAGGCCCTCATTACTCCACAGGTATGTGAACTTAACAACATACTGAACAAATTGATCTGTGAGAAATATGTTTTCTTTCATTCAGCCGTTGAGGGCTGCTTAAATTGATTCCATCTTTTAGCTATTGTAAACAATGCTGAACTGAACATGGAAGTGGAAATGTCTCTTCAATGCACTGACTTAGTTTCTTTCACTATATGTTCAGTAGTGAAACTGATGAATCCTATGGTCATTCTATGTCTAGTTTTTTTTAGTAATTTCCACAGTTATACATAATGACTGTTTGAACCTACTGTTGGCAGGTTTGTAAATAAATGAATTTAACACAGCATGCAAAGGAAAAGGGAACCACGGATCAATCAAATGTGCAAAAGAAACACTAGAAATTGACCATTAAGAACATGGTATTTTTTATTTGAAAGATGTCTAATGAGCTAAACAAATAAACAAAATTAAAAAACATAGAATATGAGTAAAAAGTTAAAAACTATAAATAGAAAGAAGCATAAATCGTGTAGCTGAAAAATTTAGAAAAAATTACATGAACCCAACACAAAAAAGGGCTGGTGGAGTAGCTCAAGTGGTAGAGCACCTGCTAAGCAAGCATGAAGACCTGAGTTCATACCCCAAAACCACCGGAAAAAAAAAATAGACAAACAAGGTAACACATGCTCTTTATCCCCACACCCAAGAAGCAGAAGCAGGAGGAGGTAGAGATCAGCCGAAGCTAGATAGTGAGTTCAAGACAAACCTAAGCTACATAGTGAGACCTTGTCTCAATAAAAAACATGGGAATTCAGTAAGAAATCCGAACTATAAGGAAGGAAACTGACATCAAAATTCAAGAAGCTCAATTATCTCCAAACAACACAAATACCAAAACACAAAAAGCAGCACATTATAATCAAACTTTTATAAATTACAGAGAATCTATGAGCAGCAAAAGAAAAGGGATATGCCATTTTTAAGGGTGCTCTTCACACACAGGAGGTATGGGGATAGATAGAAAACCCAAAACATGAAAGCGTTTGATGTCCCCACTCCAGAGGACCTAATACAGAAACCTTAAAACAACAGAGGTCAACACGAGAAGGGGATCAGGAACCAGTGTAAAGATCTGTTAGAGATGAATCAACTTGGGTTGGGTATTTTCAAGATATGGTCTCTCGAAATATTTGCCTGTGCTGGCTTTGTACCTCCAAAGTAGCAGGATTCCAGGCGTGAGCCATGGGCACTGGTTTCAACTTGGGTTGAAAGCAATGCTATGAATCTCTCTGTATAGCTATCCTTAACTCAACTAGCAAAAACGCTTTGTCTTTCTTATTATTGCTATGTCTTCTCTTCAACAAAATTAAAGATAAAGGCAGAACAGTTTCTGCCTGGAAGCGAGGGGGGTTTGGGGGGTAAAGGGTGGGGGCAGGGGGCAGGGGGGAGAAATGACCCAAACAATGTACACACATGTGAATAAATGAATAATAATGATAATAATAAAATGGTGCTCTTATATGAATATCAACAGATTCCTCAGCAAAACCCTAAAATCCAGAAAAATGTCTAAGAATACAAAATGTAGAAAAAACAAATAATCCCAAGCAACAATAACAAATCCAACAAAACTGTCCTGAATGTGAAGAAAAAAATACTTTAAAGATATATAAATGCTCAAAAAGTTTATTACCACTAAACCGGCCCTACTAGAAATGTTAAATAGAGTCCTTCCTAGTGAAAATGAGCAACACATATCATAATGAATTTTAAAGCAGTCACGGGAAAACAAATACACACACATAGAATTCCATAGTACTGCAATACAGGTGCATTCAGCACTTTCAATTTTGCTATAGAATTTGAAAGACAGAAGCATAAAAATAACCATGAATGTGTTAAAGCACAGACAATATAAAAACAGCTGTGGCATCAGTAACAGACATTGAGGAGAAATGTAAAGACAAAGAATCTTTACAGGCAGTAAAAAAAAAAAGATACAATGATATGCTGTCTACAGGAGACTCTTTCAAGATCTAAGAATGCAGATAAGCTGAAAGTGAAAGAATGGAAAGGATATTACATGCAATAAATGACCAAAAGAAACCAGGGTAGCAGTACTTATGTTATATAAAATAACACTTTAAAACAAAAACAAGGGTGGTGGAGTGGCTCAAGTGGTAGAGCGCCTGCCTAACAAGCATAAGGCCAAAAAAAACAGTCATATGAAATGAAATGTAGGTTAAGTTAAAAAATGTAATTGACAAAGAATGGAATAAAAGTAGAAATCAATAGAAGACAAATCAGAAAATCCACAAATATGTGGCAATTAAACATACTCTTGATCACGGTGTTGTTCAATACTTGGAAGACAGTATTTTAAAAGAGCTATAACATCCGAGGTGTTCCTGAGATTCCATGAATGTTTTTGCATTAATAGAAAAAGCAGTAATAAAAATCACATGGAATCTCAAGGGTCCATGGGGACCACAATAATATTCAAGAGTAACAAATTTGGAAACATGACACTTTCAGATTTTAAAAAGTATTAAAATGTAGACTAATCAAAACTGTTTGATAGTGATATGAAGTTAGACAAATGTGGAAAAGAACAGACAGTGCAGTGATAATTTGTCACAAAGGCAAATCAAGACATACTTGCACATTAATGTTCCCTGTACTATTAGTCACAAAAGCCAAAAGGTAGAAGTAAACCAAACATCCCATAACATGAGTGTATGAAGGTGATCTGGAATACAGAAAACAATGGGATATTACTGAGCCACACAAAAAAAAGGAAGAAACGCCTTGTAATATGTGAAATGAGAATCTTGAAGACATTATGCTAAGTGAAATAAGCCAGTCACAAAAAGTCAATACTGTATGATTCTACTTATGATTTGTAAAGTCACAGAACTTTTTGAACAGAAAGTAAAATGGTGTTTATGATGGGTAAAGGGGAGACAGAAGTTTTCATGGATACTTCATTTTACTTTTGAAAGATAAAAATTTTCTACACATGTTGAGTAATTTGAATATACTTAACACTAATGAACAATATATTTAACATATTTAAGTAAATTTATTTTGTGTGGTTTGAGCACAATTAAAAATTTTTAAAACACAATATAAACAGATATATAAAAATTTTCAAAAGATACCTCTACATCGCAAACCTGTTTCTCTTAGACAAAGCAATTGATTCATCAGTATTTCCATGAATACTCACTAGAACAGGATAAAGCAATTATTCAACGCCAATCAAGACAGAAATATCCAAGGCATGAACAAAACAGTTAATGTTTATACAGGCAAATAGAAACACATAGCTTTAATGACAATAGACACATGGTTCATACATATTTTCATTTCAACTTACATTGTCCTAAATTTCACAGAATTGAGATTTGCCATAAAATAATAATATATAGGTTAAAAACTAAAAATTATATTACTGATGTGAGGAAACCTAATGTAAAAAAAATAGAATATACTGTAAAAAGAGAGAGAAAGGAATTACAAAACAAGAGAAAATTTAACCCAAAAAAATACATGCACTATTCCTTTAAATCCTTTTAGATAACTACAACTTCAAGCTGTGACCACATACCCACATATTAAGCACTGGGAATCACTGACAGACCAACTTCACAGAAAACTTATAACCATTCATTAACAGCTGTGATGAAACAATTTTCAAAAGTAAACTGAGCAAAACTCTGATGTTATTAACATATCACAGTGGTCTAAAACAGAGATTTTTAGAAATGGGCACAGATTTTCTGGGGTCCCCAAGAGCAATGGAAGAGCAATCAGATCATACTGACCATGGAGGGAAAAGGGAGGAATTTGGCTGTAACTGTGAATGTGTGGGAAGATGACCGGAGAGAAGGAGAAGGCTTAGAGGTTTGAAAGGCATGATAAATATACAGCAGGAGATGTCCTTCTGTGACAGCAAGAGAAATAAACCTAGGCTTCTGAAAAGTCATCTCCACTGGAACTGTGCTTCTCAATCCACATTTCAAGAGTTGGCCCTAGACCTCTGGACCTCTCACCTATGTCCTCTGCCTCATTCATTCCTACCAACCTGGGCATATGGTTCCTGTCTCTTGTCGCAGCAAGTTCCAAGGTTCTTTTCTCTGTTCCAAAAAGGTAACCAGGTTCGGCTTAAAGACAGCAAGACCTGTTTATTGAAAAAATAGAACATGAGATTTGTTTGGAAGTCAACAGTAACTACTACGTTTCTTTCTCATGACTGTGCTCAGTACTGACATAATATAGTCTAGAAAATTACTATGTCAATAGTTGTTCCCTAACAGACTCATTAGAATTCTTCAGAAGCATTTTTATTTTGCAGATCCTGAACTCCACTTCCGCCCAGTACCAAACCAAACCTAAAGGGGATAAATTAGGCTTTTAAGAAGTAAACGGCAATCTTTCAGACCACTGAATTCTATAATTACCACTAAAGTAAAAGGTGTATCTCAAGAAAGGGGATGACTAAAAAAAGAAAACCATGAATGTTTCATTATCTATATCCACAAATACCCAAAATTTTTTCCTACAGACAGCAATATGAAACTCAGTCATGCAAAGCACATGCTCTGAGAGATATTCCTCAAAGGAAGGAAATTAAAGGTTGGCAGTGAGAATTCAGAATTCTGTAGGGAAACTATCCATACCCAGGGACACCAGGTTCCTGTAGTTCTCTAACATCACGTCACTATATAAATTCTGCTGAGCAGGTTCTAAGCATTCCCACTCCTCTTGAGAGAAATCAACAGCCACATCCCTGAATGTCAACAGTTCCTGAAATAAAAACAAACAATTCAATAGGACATTGACCATTTGTCATTGACAGAATTTTTTTTTTCAAGTACTAGGGTTTGAACTCAGAGTTTCACACTTGTTAAGCCACTCTGCCAGCCCTGACAGAGTTCTTACTCTACCCAAAATGGGAAAGGTTGGAGAACTGGTTCTGACATAGGTGAATAATCTTAATTATTCAGTAAGATACTTTTTTTAATACAGTGATGTTCTCTAATGTACTAGCTACCTCTGAGGAAAGAAGATGACATAAGATCCACAAAACCTTTGTAGATGTTACACATTTATTTTGTTTTGCTGTGGTGGAGCTCAAACCCAGTACCATGCTAGGCAAACATGTATCACTGAGCTACATCCCCAGCCCAGTAATAAACTTTTATGAAATACAAAATGTTAAATTAAGGGATCAAGAATATACATTTTAAGTGCTATGTTCATATTTTAGAAGATACATTTTTTTCTCAGAAAAGAAAGTCATGGTGAGTGAGAAAGGTACTTTCAAATCGTACTGTGTACAACCATGAATTAGAGATCTTATTAAAATGCAGAATCCATTCCTTTAGTTCTGTGCTGGGGCCTCAGTTCCTCACTATGTAGAGGCTCACTACTGATGCCAAGAGGCACTCTTGAATACTCATTATGTGGAACACTAGGGGAAAATGCATTGAAAGGTGGGAGTCTTTGTGAGTTATTCATCTGACAGCTAGTTAGAATTCAGAACATATGAAGGACTCAAAAAACTTAACATCAGTGCTGGTGGAATGGCTCAAGTGGTAGAGTGCCTGCCTTAGCAACCAGGCCCTGACTTCAAACCCCAGTAACAAACAAAAACACTTAACATCAAAAGAACAAGTCATCCATTCAAAAAATGGGCAAATACTGTGAATGGACTCTTATCAGGAAAAGTAAAAATGGCCAATAAATACATGAAAAAATGCTGAAAATCTGTAGCCCTGGGGGAAATGCAAACCATAAGTACATTGAGATTCCATCTCACCTCAGTCATAATGACTATTATCAAGAAAACAAAAAACAAATAGTGGTGAGGATGTGGAAAAAAAGAAACCATTATACACTGTTGGTACAAATGGAAATAGAACAGCTATTTAAAAACACTATGTGGGTTCCCCCCACCAAAACAACTAGAAATACTACCACTATGACCCAGCTATACCACTCCTGAGGAGTGGTATAGGAAAGGAAATAAAGTCAGCATACAAACAAGACACCTGCATACCCATGTTTACTGCAGTACTATTCACAACAGCAAAGACACAGGCTCAGCATACATGCCTATCAGTACAGGATGGGATAAAGAAAACCTGGCTTACACACATAGTGGACCATTATTCAGTCACAAACAATGAAATCATGCTACTTAAAGGAAAATGGTTAGAGCCAGAGGTGATCCATAAAAATCCAGATACAGAAAAAGACAAACTCATCCAGCTCTTTCCCTGAGAGGCTCCACACCCACATTTCAACTTACTCTCTAGAAGAGAAAGCCAGGACCTGCTATTCACTAGACCCACCAAGAGACCAGACGTGACAGCTGTGGGCACCTGGCTTTAGACACCTCTAAACATAGGACCAGGAAAAGACTGGAGGCTGGGATGAGTACACATCACCCTCTAAAGTTTCCAAAGGGGACACTCAACCCAAGAAATTCTAGGTGTCTGTGGCTAAGGACGACAAAAGGAGGGGCACAAAGATTTTTTCAGGATGGTGGGGGCTGGGAGTCAAGTTCTCGCTTTCTTCTTATGTGAAATGTTCGCTAAGAGAAGAATTCTTTAAGAAATGTCATGCACTGCCTAGCGAACAAAATGACAAAGTGCTGTGTCCATTTGAAATGTAGCATGAAGAACAAATAGTAATGTCGTGAAAGGGGGAAGATGGTGTTTAGAAACGAGAGCAGTGAGCTGGAACTTTAGGAATTTATTCCAGCGCTAGGAAGTGCTAGGCTGAGGAGACAGTGTTCAGGATTGGGGGGGGGCCTGCTTCTTCTACTTTTAGAAAACTCACTGGAGAAAGGGTGACCCCTCAGGTGGAGGAGAGTCTGGGGACCCTACATTTAGCAGCTCTTCTCGTGCAGAAACGCCACAGACACAGTGGAAATCATACCAAACTGGCGAGTCAACAATGTAGTACAGAGCCGCCCACTGAAGGCTTCAGGGGGCTGAAATCGCTGCACACGGACAGGGAAGGAGGTCCGTCCGAGCTGCCACTCAGCCCCACCCCGAGGCGGAGGGGACCGAGGCCTGGGTGCACAGACAGAGCTCCAGAGGCTGCAGTAGCCGAGCAGGGACAGGGACGGGAGAGGCCCGGCAGCCGGCCCACCCCTACCCGCAGCCCGACGAGACCCAGGGCGGAGGCTGCAGTCGCCAAACAGGGATGGGACAGAAAGCCCGGAAGCCCTAGTACGTGGGTCAGAGGGGACGAAGGGCCCGGCTGCTCCGGACACTGCCGGCTCCGGTGCCGACCGCCTGGCCGGGTCCAGTCTCAGGATGCCGAGCCGGACACTCACCATCTCCTGGCCTCCAGGTGTCCGGCGTCTTCCCTGTGGACCTCCAGAGCACCCGCAGGGCCCTGGGAGACAGAGACTGCAGCAATGCCGCCTGGGCTTAAAGAGCCGAGAGGAGGAAGCCAAAAAGTTCGCAAGATGGCGACCCGGTGACAAGCCCGCGAGAGTTTGAAAGCCCGCCCTGTCCGCCTGGCAGCGTTTCTGATTGGACCGTCATCAACCAGCGCCTCTGATTGGACAGGGCTTCAGGCCCTTCCACCTCTGGCCCGAAGAGCAGATGGCCTGAGCCAAGGCAGTTTCTTGGTTGCAGTTTGCTTTTTATTTATTTTATTTATTTATTTTAAGTGGCGCTGAGTATTGAACCCCGAGCCTCTAGCAGCACTTTCCAGACAACGGCTTCTGGCCATTACATAGGTAACTGCTGTTAGGAAAACGCTGCACACCGCACACAAAGGAGGCTCAGGAGAGTTATCTCATGTCCAAAAGTTTAATAAGCAGGCTGACTGGCCCAGAGAAAAAGGCTCAGCAGCTTCTCTCGGCCGGTCTGATCTTAAGTAGCATTTGGGAGAATGCAAGGGCAAGGGATGATTTCTTTTTTTTCACTTTTATTATTCATATGTGCATACAAGGCTTGGGTCATTTCTCCCCCCTGCCCCACCCCCTCCCTTACCACCCACCCCGCCCTCTCCCTCTCCCCCCCCTCAATACCCAGCAGAAACTATTTTGCCCTTATTTCTAATTTTGTTGTAGAGAGAGTATAAGCAGTAACAGGAAGGAACAAGGGGTTTTGCTGGTTGAGATAAGGATAGCTATACAGGGCGTTGACTCACATTGATTTCCTGTGCGTGGGTGTTACCTTCTAGGTTAATTCTTTTTGCTCTCACCTTTTCTCTAGTTCCTGGTCCCCTTCTCCTATTGGCCTCAGTTGCTTTAAGGTATCTGCTTTAGTTTCTCTGCGTTAAGGGCAACAAATGCTAGCTAGTTTTTTTAGGTGTCTTACCTATCCTCACCCCTTCCTTGTGTGCTCTCGCTTTTATCATGTGCTCAAAGTCCAATCCCCTTGTTGTGTTTGCCCTTGATCTAATGTCCACATATGAGGGAGAACATACGATTTTTGGTCTTTTGGGCCAGGCTAACCTCACTCAGAATGATGTTCTCCAATTCCATCCATTTACCAGCGAATGATAACATTTCGTTCTTCTTCATGGCTGCATAAAATTCCATTGTGTATAGATACCACATTTTCTTAATCCATTCGTCAGTGCTGGGGCATCTTGGCTGTTTCCATAACTTGGCTATTGTGAATAGTGCCACAATAAACATGGATGTGCAGGTGCCTCTGGAGTAACAGTCTTTTGGGTATATCCCCAAGAGTGGTATTGCTGGGTCAAATGGTAGATCGATGTCCAGCTTTTTAAGTAGCCTCCAAATTTTTTTCCAGAGTGGTTGTACTAGTCTACATTCCCACCAACAGTGTAAGAGGGTTCCTTTTTCCCCCCCCCATCCTCGCCAACACCTGTTGTTGGTGGTGTTGCTGAAAGGGATGATCTTTGATCTGCAAAGGAAGACACCAGCTGCAGGAGCAAGGAATAGGGGCGGGCAAAGGGAGGTGGTGGAGATAAGGGACAGTGGGCTTTGATCAGCAAGGGATGAGACCAGCTGCTGAAGCAGGTCTAGGGGCGGGCAAAGGAAGGGGTGGGAGATAAGGAACGGTGGGCTTTGTTTTGCAAGAAGTAAAACCAGCTGCAGCTTAGGCTGCAGAAGAGGCAGTTCTTATCAACTGCTCCATCTCAGGAGACCCATTCCCAGCCAAAGGTCAGCTCCACACACTTTAGTCTGTTTTCCCCAAAACAGACAGGATGCAGCTGGCTAAATAAGGGGTCTAGAACTTTCAGGACTGAGCTCAGCCTTCCTAGGATAGGAGGGAGCAAACTGCCTCTGACTGTAGCCACCTCCCCCACAGACAACTCCTTGCTGGCTATCCAGGCCCTGCAGGACATAGAAAAGGCCTGAAGCCACAGATGAGCTATTTCCTGGGAGGGCTAAGGGATAGGTGCTGCTGCTACCCTCTGAGTTTGGGAGAGTTGGCTGGGTGGGGGAGGCCTGAGCCCCACTACTCCGGTGTCATGTAGACGGGTGGCTGGCCCCCACCCCACACGTGCTGCTGGCAGCACATCCTCTGTGATCTGGGCCTCCCAGGAGGCCAGGGGTCAGTGTCAGTGCCCTCATTCCCTTCCAGGCTTGGAGATTGTTAGGGCCCCAGGAGGACACCAGTGATCAGCATGATGGCCTCTGGACCCCCTCCTCCAATCACAGTCAGTTCTCCTGGGGGGCTCCCAGCAGTGGACCTTCATTCTTTTTGTTTTTTCTTTGCAGTACTGGGATTTGAACTCAGAGCCTTCACCTTGTGCCACTCTACCAGCCCTTTTGTGGTGGTTTGTTTGGTTGGTTTTTTCGAGATAGGGTCTTACTGAACTGTTTGCCCAGGCTGCCTCTGAACCGCAATCCTCCTGATCTCTGCCTCCTAGTAGCTAGATGACAGGCGTGAGCCACTGGTGCCTGGCTGTAGATCCTCATTCTTACACACACAACATAATGGAAGGAAGATCTTTGTGCCTGTGTCTCTCACAGACCAGCTTAGAAGCTTCTGAGAGCAGGGGCAGGGTCTGACGTCTGGATCCAGTGCTGATACCCCACCCACACACCGCTCCCTTCTACAGTGTGCTCCTGTGAGCAGAGGGCTATACCCACAGACACCTAGAATCTATAGTGCACACCTTAGGCAGCAACCCAAGAAATTCAGCTTCTAGAGTTTATTATGAAGAAATAATCAGGTAAAGGGCATAGGGCTAAGGGGAGAGGACAGGAATGCCCAGCCTAATTCTGTATAGAAAACAGATAATGGACACAGTCAATGCCCACCAGTAGGGTACTGGGGCATCAGTTAACACAACCCCATCATGAAATGCTGCTGTAGGACTGAAAGGCTGGCGTTAATCTTTATGCACTGACAAACAGATGTCAGGATACATATTTAAATGAAGAAAGGAGGGAGTTTAAACACTAAACTTTAATGTAGTTGAATAAAATGTTTGTTTTGCAGACACAATGAATTACCACCTGGCAGGGAAACCCACCATGGCCCACCCTGTCTCAACCATCCCTAGCCAGGTTTGCCTCTCAGCACTCAAGAAAATATCCTTTGAACACAGATATGTCAAAATGCTCCTCACACCTCACTCATAAAATTAACAGGTGTAGGAGGGTGACCTTGTGTATGGGCAGTTGAAAAGGACCAGTAGTGCAACATTCTCCCTTCTAGGCCTCAGTGCACAGAACTCACTGGGAACTTGATTCTGATTTATCACTACCCAAGTCTAACAGGCCTGCCTACAACTTCTAATCTCATGCACATTTTTCAAATGCTTCTTCCAATACAGGGAGTTACCAACCAAAAAATTCAAACATGACAGTGGGCTAACAAGCCTTCCACTACTCATCAGAATCCCTTCCTTGGGGAATTCTGGGGACCTCCATTTTTATTCAGGATAAAGCTCTGTAACTTGTGCTGCACAGCTGGTCAATCCACACCTGCTTCTTCCATGCTGTTGGCTTGGCTCCCCAGGGATGGTTCGGCCCCAGCTTCCCCCTGAAAACTCAAGGAGCATCCTGGCTCCCCAGAAGGCATCACAGGAGGCCTGGCCATCAGGCCACTGCACCTAGAAGCCAACACAGCATTACACACAGAGGTGCCTTCTGCTAGGTTCCAAGACCCACCTTCCCACCTGGGCACCTCCAGATCCTGTCAAACCCACACTCTAGACTAGAAGGAGGCACAACCCCACAGTAACCCAGCTCTGAGACTACTAAAATGTCCAGCCATTTGTTTTCTCTACTCTTTGTTCAATGCTTGGTTTTATCATTCCAACACACTAGCTTAGCCCGCTTCAGCCACGAACTGTGAACCAGATTATGATTGAAACATGCAGGCCTCACCTGACTGGAGGTCAGGGGATGGCTCAGCTCCGAGGCAGACACAGGACTTGGGAAGGCAGATGGGGCTGGCACCAGGTCTTGCAGGCTAAGAAAGGGGCAGTATCAGAACTGGCCCTCTCTCGGGGACTGCCCCACACAGTTCTGCTCTATACATCAGGTCAGGTTATGACTCAAGGGGTTGATGACAAGATCCCCCCAGTCGTATCTGTGTACATCAGGAGTCATTCTAGGTGCTGCATTCCAATCATGAACACTTTCTTCCAGCACAGCCCTCTGTGTGTAGAGTGAGTTAGGAAGGGAATGTACTACACAGTGAACAGGATCATTTGGCAGGTCATACAGGAAAAATGAAGTTGAGTGCATTAGAGCAAGCTCATGGATTTTGAACCAGTGAACACAAATGAAGGAACAGATCACAAAGAAGGAATGGTTCTGAGGTATGAGGGAGATGAAAGACCATGTGGACCAAGTCAGGAAAAGCAGGAAGGAGAGTAGAGACTGGAGAGGCACAGTCACTCAGGACAATTCAATGGTTTTCAACCACGCCAACACATGCCTACCATTGTTGCACTCCTAGGTGTACTTCAGGGGAAACAAAGTAAATATGCAAACTACACACATGCAGGAACATCCACAGTGACCTCCTCTGGGAATTCCCCAAGCCACAGACACCCAAATACCACCCAAAAGAGAATGGACAAGTACAGTCTCCCATTTACACTGTGGATTAGGAGTCAGCAATAAAAGGATTAACTATTGTACTGGCAGAATGGCTCAAAGGGTATAGTGCCTGCCTAGCAATCATGACGCCCTGAGTTCAAACCCCAGTACTGCCAAAATAAAAAGGATTAGGTGCATTATATAGAATGTCATGTAAATAGAAGCATACACTGTGTACTCTGGTGTTTTGCTTTTCTCTGGCTTCTTTCACTGGGCATAACTACTTTGAGATTCACCATGTTGTTAGGTGTATCAACAGTTACTCACCTGACTTTTCCAGCAGGCGCCCTAATCTTTCTTTCTTTCTTTTTTTGTAGGTAATAGGGATTGAACTCAGGGCCTCACACTTGCTAGGCAAGTGTCCTGCCACTTGAGCCATGTTCCCAGTCCCAGTGCAACTAATCTTTACTGA